AATATCTCTAATGAACTAGCGCTCTATACAGGGCCTGTCTCTTATACACATCTAGATGTGTATAAGAGACAGGAGAGAGAGAGAGAGAGAGAGAGAGAGAGAGAGAGAGAGAGAGAGAGAGATTATATGGGTAATTACCACGATTAGTTCTAGTATACCTCATCACGTAGCCTGCAAACCTCGGCCTCAAGATCCTTCTCCTTTGCCCCAGTTGATTTCTCAAAACGGTTTTCCTTCATAATGGTTTGCCTCGGTGAGCCTCGTTCTCTACACCCTTGCTGCACCCCACCAGGTTTTCCTGTTGCAATGTGAGAACCTGATGTGCCCCCTTGTCTGCACCCCACTGGCGGAGACCTGTTGTGCATGCCCGGATCATCTCGTAACGGGGACCGTATTGGTGAAGCTGGAACAAACAGGGGCGTGCAACATACAACATCCACATTCTGATATGCTTCTTCCATTCCCTCTCTTACGGGGGAATCCTCCGCCACTCTTCGCATGGGACTCTTAACCACGTGTCCTCGCCCAGTTCCAGTTCCAGTTCCAGTTCCAGTTCCCAGTCCTGTTTCTACACCTGCTCCTCGCCCAGTTCCAGGTCCCAGTCGTGATGCTGGACCTGCTCTCTCATCACAGAGTCCTTGCTGCCATGTTTCATTCGCATGTTGTCTGGGCCAATTACCTCCCCCACGCTGAGGTTTGGAGCTTCCATTTCTGTCCAGAAGAGCATCGTCACCAGCTACGTCACGAGTCACATAACCCCGAGGCACTGCTGCATCACCCTGTGGATTCATGCGCAGATGGTGGTCCGTGAGCACAACATTGTTGCGTGACCTGTCGTCCTTGTGAGAAGTCAGTCCTGCAACATCAGCCCGTGTCTCGGCAGCCAACCGGTGGTTAGGCATCCCACCTCTTGCCCTTGGTGATACAGTTTTGATCTGTAGACCTTCTCCAGACTGGTGTACTTGAGCTCCACCTCTCTCCTCCCTTGCTCTCGCCTCACACAGCACGCTATCTGGCAACTTCTTGGCAGTTAGCATCTGGGTTTCAGACAGTCCAGAAAAGCCAATGATGACCAAGCCAATGAATGTTTCCTGCCTGTACCCAAGTTGTGTCTGTTGAGTGCCAGAAATGGAGGGAGAATAGGGGTAAGTGGAAGTGTGAAGGACAAGTTGGGTGCAACAGTTGTATGCACACTTGGATGCTCAAGAAAAAGCAACAAAAACTGTCTCACTATACTTTTGCAAGGGTCTTAGACACTTGAGATACCTTTGACACACCCCCTAGATAGGAGAGGGTCAAAGCATCGAACAAAAAAGCGACACCCTGAGCCCCAAAACTCAACACCCTTGGGTAGAAGTGTTCAGGGCCATGTTCAGGGGTCAATAAGTCAAGTCCGTATGGTTCAAATTGGTCCACGCTGCATAGCCTTGCCCAGTAGGACACCAATATGAGGTCTCTTTGATCTCAGAGTTCTCAGGCCCAGTGACTTGAGGCCAGAGAAAAGTCGAAGTCAACAGTCAGGCTCGAATCGGCAGCTTAATGGACAAGGCCAGAGAGAGTCAGGGCGAGTGAAAAGAGGCGAGAGAAAATTAGCAGTAGCTTCACATATATTGTCACACATCTATCCACTAAAAGAGCGCACTTTGCGAAACAAACGAAAGAAAAAAGACCGAAGACAATATATGACGAGCACACCAAAAATGTTATTTTTGAATCTTTTAATCATTTCTTTGTTTAACACCCCCTTTACTGTGCCTCTGACGTACAAGGCTCGCCATGTTGATCAAGTTGAGTGCAAGCTTCCCGCATCCCTGGGCGACATAACAGCCCACTAGTACGCTGTGAAAAAGAGGCAGAGTAAAGGGGGAGGAGAAACACAGAGAAAAGATGGAAAGATGGAAAAGCAGAGGAAGACAAAGGGAAATTAAGGGAAAAGTAAGGGATGTGGAATGGCGATGAACGCGTAGAAAAGGATGAAACATAGTACACCACAGGACCATACACAATACGTGGAAGTGTACTCCTTCACTCTGCGCTAAGCGGCACCTTGCACCGAGCAATTACCACAAAGCAACTTGCACAAACAATTCTTGGAAGAAGAGAGAGGGCAATGCACAGGATGTTTTTTCAGTGTCTTGAAGATGTGTTAATGAGCCATCCATACGTTCAACCCTACGTTTCTAGTGGGAAAAAACGAAACAGTAACTGAAAGGAAAAACAACCCACTAGAAACGTATGGTTGTCAGGCCGCCGATCGGCAATGCCGACGGCCAATGGTTTCGTAGCCGATCAGCTGGCCCGAGCAGTCGGCACCAACGGGTAGGATGGTCGGCATATGAGAAGCCGACCGGACGCAGGCCGGCGGCCGCTGACTGATGGCAGAGCTATCCTGAAGCCAGTATTCTTGAAAGACATGGGTATACTGTACCATCCGCTTTCCGATGTTGTGCAGTGCGTAATAAGGAGAGTAACATATTAGTATGTACTATGTGGGCTACACGCACATTGACAGACTCGAAGGTTCCCCATATTGTTTGTGCAGACTCTGCCGCATACTGACCTGATCAGCAGAATCAGATTCAATGACACAAGGTATCCGGGGAGTTGTCCCTGTTTTAGTGCTATAAGGTGACCGGGATGTAATCACTGTCTTCTTGGTGGATCGCCACCGAGAGTCTCTGTCCATCATCTCTGTCATCACATCCTTTAGACCAATCTTTGACCCTCCTGCTTCTGCTTCATCATTTGCTCCTGCTCCTGCTCCTGCTCCTGCTCCTGCTCCTGCTCCTGGTCCTGCTCCTGCTCCTGGTCCTGCTCCTGCTCCTGCTCTTCCTATGGCGACTTCTTTTTCGGTGTCCAGCTGTTTGTTGGTTTTCCTTCCACTTCTCATTCCTCCTCCATTTCGCCCATCTCCCCCTCCTCTCCCCCTCTTTGAATCTTCATCTCTTCCCTCTTCCCCCTGCCCTGCGCCACTATGCTTAGTCCTCCCTGTCTTCTTCCTTTTCCCATGCAAGGTATCGTCACTGCTGCCGCTGTCATCGCTGTATTCCAAACGGCGTCTCTTGAGCTGAGCTGGAGCCTTGCCTCTACTCTTAGCAACGGAGATTACAGGGGAACGGGAGGTTGGAGTGTGTTCACATGCCTGCAGTGCAGAACTCTCTGCTACAGCTGCAACAACAAGGACGATGAACACGCTTCATCGACATTAACCAAAAAAAAAAAACATAGTAAACAGCATGGTGCATGCCTCAAATGCATCACGCAAACCAATACACCCATGCGCATGCAAAGTGATGATGATACCGTGCTACTTCAGGTCATGACATTCTATCTCTCAAACTCTTGGGGGCATCCATTAGAATTGGAACAATACACAGGAGATTAGCATGGCCCCTGCGCACACAATGACACACACACAAATCGAGAAATGGTCCGAAATTCACAAATCCATTATATATAAATCAATCGCTCCCTCCAGGCATCGAACCTCAAACCTGCTGATTGAAAATCAGAGCCCTTACGGCACGGAAAATGGAGCTGGAATGAAACTGAAGCTCGCAGATGCAAATTTGAGCCCGCCCCAGCATGGTCAGTACATCAAATAAAGTAGACAGCCATGACCTGGTTTACCCAGTCATATCAACCAAGTAGCCCTCCCCAAGCCGTAGCTCAAGGGGTTTGCATGCCGAACACCCCGAAGAAGAAGAAGTCAAGGGAGGAGCATGAGTGCGTTCAAAATGTACTGTGATTCCTCACTTGCCGGTGGAATAGGAACCGCACTGATGCTCCCCAGAATGGAACAAAGCCAGAAAAAAAAAAAAAGCAGTCAAATGGCAGCCTCAGCCCGTGTTGGCCCCAGAGACTGCCTTCCAACAAGACTGACCTCCAGCAGCTATAGCCACCCTCCTGTCTGGAGAGTTCTACTTAAAGGTATCAGAGCCAGCGGCTCCTGGTGCTCCTCAACCTTGAAAGCATAAGCGAATAAAGGCTGGCAATCCAGGACATGCATGTGCTAGGACCTGCAAAACACAGACTGAGACACACAGCTGATTTCTGAGTTTTGCCAATGGAATGCATGCCTTGCTGAGTTTCCCGCTTGTTGCTTAGTTTTCTAATTTCGAGTGTGTGCGTGCTTGCTGGTCTGCGTGCCTGTCTGAGTGCTTGTCGGTTTGAGTGTGTGTGAGACCCGCGAGGGTACTTGTCTGTGTGGAAGGCCCAAAGGGCTGGTACTTACCTGTGGCTGTGGCATCGAAGGTTGCAGCGGGGGAAAACACTCAAGTGGCGGGGAAGGAGGCCCGCMACACTTGAAGCAGCGGAAAAACACTCAAGTAGCAGGTAGAGGTAGATGTGCCGGGTACTCGAGGCCGAGCAGAGGAAGACAAAGTCGGCATGTTTAGAGGCCCAGTAGTTGTAGGCTAGGTCTAGGCGGGTAACAGTCCAACCAGTCTGAGTCTAGGGCCTGTACAGGCAATATCAGAGTCTGCAATGATGTTTCCCTCCGAAAGGGAGGAGGTACTGGTTGCTTGGAGGCCACGCGGCCTAGGAAGTCACTCGCCAAGAGGCAAGTAGGCCGCTATATCTCCAGGAGGAACGAGGTGCTCCTCATTGTCGGTGTGCAAGTTTGGCGACACACTGGTTGGAGCCCTGGCTGGAGCAGCGCTACCATCAAAAGCAGCGCTGCTGGGGAGGAGCAAGGACAGGAGGAGGAAGAAGACCAGGACTAGGAGGGAGGAGCGCCAGAGGTACTTACCTGGCTATGGTGGATGTCATCTTCATCACCTTGGTGGGCGCTGCAAGTGGAAGGCCCCCGTTGGGGTAGAGCTACACCAAGAAGCTTCGAGGCAGAGTCAGGCATGGCGGCCTGAGCTAGAGCAGCCATAGCTGCGTTGTGTTGTCCTTTGCACAGCACGGCAGTGCCCTGGTAGTCCGCCATAGCCTTGGCCGTGGAAGGAGGAGGAAGAAGGGTGGCCATGGCTTTGGTGGACCTCATGTGATGCCTGCAGTAGAGGAGGGATTCGGACATTGATTCTGGTTCAACCATTCAACATTATTATTAGTATTTCTTGTTTGAATAAGAGGGGAGGAGATAAGGAGGAAGGAGAGTGGTTGGCGAATAAGAAGGGAATTCTCATTGGTCTTTGCTGGTGTACATCTTCTTCTTCTTCTTCTTCTTTCTTTCATCTTCTTCTTCTTCTTCTTCTTCTTCTTCTTCTTTCCCTCTCTCTCCTCTCAAGTTCACTCACTTCTTTTTGCAATTGGACGACATTGTACTTTCTGATGAATGTGTACTTCGAAATTGGCCAGGATCATAACACACGAGTCAAAGAGGCCGCGGTGCAGCTGAAGCTACAGTTGGCAGTTAAGAGCATCTTTCATCTTTTTTCTTCTTTTTTTTAAAATATTTAAGTTGGACCATTTCTCTCTCGAGTTATGCATGTCATCCTTGTGCAGGGGCCATGCTAATATTCTTTCTCTGTATCGTTCCAATTTTAACAGGTGTCCCAAACGACAACTTTCAGTTTTTTCAACTCTCAGCGGCTCCTTTTGGATATGGAACTTTGCAGGCTTATCTTTTTCTTTTTTTTTTCTTTTTCTTTTTCTTTTTCTTTTTTCCTTTTTTTCCTTTTTTTTTTTGTGTGTGTGTGCAAGGAAAATAAGCAACAGCGAGATGACAAATCCAGATTACACCATCACATTAAAAGCCAGATAGTCACACTGTGTCCAGAGAGTAGCATTGCACCAATAATACACCAATGGAGGTTCATAGTACTGAAAACCAATGTCATGGAGAGCTCTCTCTCTCCTTCAGCAACACAAGAGTCCAGTCCCTTCACACTCCTACTTGGCGCTCAGCGCCCAGCCTACTCCTACACAGCTACTACAGCCTAATAATAGACAATGCAACTGTTGACATCAGCGGCAACCCGAAGTACTTGAAGATGTCGCCCATATGCAGACCATCGCCAATACAAGGTAAGTGCCGTCACATCATCATCATCATCATCCTTCGCCCTTCCCTGACATACACCCACACCTGTCCTCTCATACGTGAAGACCACCCCTGCGCCTCACTGTAGTCCAAGCCCACCAGCTATGGTGGCTGGGCTATGGCGCTGCCCTCAGCAGCGCCCTTCTTCCCTGCACGACCGCASGTGCTGCACCTCGCCTCTCAGCGCCAGCCAGCAGCCGCGAGCCTTTGCTCCAGCAGCGCTGCCGCTAGCATGCGAGTGCCTGAATGAGGCAGCCAGGGCAGAGCTCTTTCCTTTATGGAGAGAGTTGGCCTGCTCGGGCAGCCTGGCTGCACTGGCCTGGGCCCAGAAGCTTCCGGAAGGCCCCAGGAGGCTGCCTGTGTACAGCAGCTACTGGGCTGCTGGGCCTCGTTCGGTTGGGCGCCCAACTGTCTCTGTATGAGGCTGCGAATCACGCCCAGGGCCTGCATTCTTTGGAAAGGCCCGGAGGGCCGTGGAAATGTCTTTGTTGCCCGGCCTGTGTTTCTCTCAACCAACTGGCGCGTCGCAACTGCCTGGACCCCAAATATGAAATTGACAGTCGAGGGCCTCTTGCAAAAAGCCAGGCCCGCCTTCACTTAGGGCGGGCACCTCCGCCTTCACTTAGGGCGGGTAATGCTGCACGCAGGGCCCCATAAGCCTACCGAGGACCCTGATCCTTGCATTCCCTCCTCCTTTACTTCGTGAGTCCTCTGAGAAGTCTCTTATTCTGCAGGCATCTTCCCCTTGAGTGCTCTTTTATAGCCTGCAATCACTTGCGGTGCTGTTCTCATGAGTTCTTCTCGTGTGAACCACCGGTCTTCTTTAGGATCCAGATGATGTCTGAAGCTCACACGATACTGCATTCTCGGTTTAGGAGGTCGCCCTCTGCCTGATGGTCGAGGAACAGGCATCACTCGATGCTCGATGATCTGGTCAATGTCCACTTCGCCATCCATGGTTGGGAGCACCATTGATCTTCTGGAAGGAAACTGATCAGTGGCAGCGAAAGGTGCCAGCTTGGAGGCATGAAACACTGGGTAGGTGCGTAGGTGTGCAGGAATACGGATCACGTATGAAGGCCCATCCGGTTGATCCCCTACAATGTCCAAGATCTCCCAGGGCCCAAAATACTGCGGCATCAGTTTTCTAGATATCCCCATTTCCTGACCTAGTTCAGATGACTTTACCCAGACTCTATCACCTATCTGAAAGTTAGAGGGCCATCTATGCTTATTCTCGAATGCGATCATAGCATCCTGAGACTTCTTAATATGTTCAACGGCCTGCTGCAGCATCTGTTCATATTGGACAGCAAAGTCTATGCTGCCAGGTGCTGCAGTGGATTGTCTTTCTGGTAGCAGAAAGTCAAGTGCAGTTCTGGGCTTCCAACCAAGATGTAACTGGTTGGGAGTCATACCGGTAGTACTGTGCACAACATTGTTGTACAAGCTGGTGACGAGCGGTAACTTCTCGTCCCAGTCATCCTGACTTGGCTTAATGTAATGCCGAAGCAGGTGTTGTACTACCCGGTTCATCTGTTCCGCCTGGCCATTTGACTAAGGGTGATTCCCTAAGGTCATTTGGAGTTTGGTGCCCATCTGTTCAGCGGTTGACTGCCACAGTTCACTCGTGTATCTCACATCCCTATCACTGACGATGGACGTAGGCAACCCAAAATCACGTACCCAATTATCCATAAACAGTTTGATGACGTAGTCAGTTTTGGCTGTTTCTGGCATGGCGATCAGTCTGGCGTACTTGGTAAAACAGTCCACTATGACAAAGATGTGTCTCTTTCCTGACCAGCTGGTCACAAGGGTATCCATGAAATCCATGGACACACTCTGGCCTGGTCCTTCAGGGATCGGCAAGGGTTTGATCAACCCAAGCGGAGCCTGAGTCCTTGGTTTGTCCCTTTGACAAACCTGGCAGGTTTCAACATAACGTTTTGCATCTTCCAACATAGAAGGCCACCAAAATCTCTGCACTAAGTTCGTTGATGTCTTTCTATAGCCAAAATGACCACTTGCATCATGACATTCTCCTAAAAATAAACTACGTAAAGACTCATTATTAGCAACACATAATCTTTTATTCCTTGCCTTCTCGAGAAACAACAAGCCATCTACCATCGTGAATTCGCCCAAAGTCCTTTTGTCCTTTGCTTGGAATCTATGGATGATCTCTGACATAACTGGATCTCCTTGATAGGCTTCCACCAACGATCGAGTGAGGTCGGCAGATATGCCGAACTCGGTAACTAGCGCGCCCAAATAATCTGCCCTTCTTGATAGCGCATCAGCCACTTTGTTGTAAGTACCCTTGATAGGATCAAGTTGATAGTCATACATGTCTATCACTTGAATCCATCTCTTAAGTGCGTCTGACAACACAGGCTGTGTCTTAATCCAGCGCAAAGTCTCATGGTCTGACCTCACATAGAAGAATCTTCCTAGGAGGTAATATCTCTAATGAACTAGCGCTCTATACAGGGCGTAGAGCTCTCTCTCATAAGTGGACTTAGCTAACTTTTGAGATGGCATCTTCTTGCTCATATACTCGATCGGTCTCAACTTGGGCCCTTCCTGTTGTGCAAGGACCGCGCCTATGCCATATTGGCTAGCGTCTGTGGTCACAATGAATGGCTTGTCAGGATCCGAAATTTTGAGAACTTCGTAGTGTGTTAGAACATACTTCAATTTCTTGAAGCTTGCTTCACACTCTTCAGTCCACTCCCAAGGGGTGTCAAGTCGAGTTAGATCTGTTAGTGGGGAAGCTATAGTACTATAGTTCCTTACAAACGGACGATAATAGCCCGTCATCCCCAAAAACGATCTGACCTCAGTAACAGTCAGAGGTCCAGGGCCAATCACGTATGCTGGCCACCTTCGCATCTTCCGGCCTCAATCCATCTGCTGAAATTTCATGACCCAAGTACAGGATCTTGGTGCGACCAAACTCGCAATTAGCCAAGTTCACCTTGTACTGGTGTTGTCTTAGGAGACCTAGCACTGTTTTCAAGTGCTCAGCGTGCTCCTCTACAGTCCTACTAAAGATGAGAATACCGTCGAGGTACACGACAATAAACTTGTCCAAGTAGTCATGAAAAATCTTGTTCATCGCGTGCTGGAACGTACCAGGCGCATTGCATAGGCCAAAAGGCATCACCACAAACTCGTACAGACCGTACCTGGTCTGAAATGCGGTTTTGTGTTGGTCCTCAGGTCTAACGGCAATTTGATGGTATCCGGACTTCAAAT